GAAATAGAAGAAGGTATGTGTTTGTTGTAAAAGAGGAAAAGTAGAGCAGGAGGAGAAAAACACGTTTAAAGCACAACAAAAATCATTTCACAGAGTAACACTTTTTACACAAAACTGGTAAACAGGAAAATAAAGGGAGAGAGAGGGATTGTATTCCTAGGTAATTGGTTAAAAATTATTATTATCTCATATATTTCGCATTTGCAGATGAGTTGTGGTGGTGGTGGTGGCGAAGGGAGGAGAGTATAGCAATTTGAAAACTACTACTAACTTTTTCCCTCTGAAACTAGATAAAATCATCAAAATCATCGTACTGGGCTGACTGGTTGTAGGAGTAGTCGTCGTCGCGCTCCATTTGAATGGTGGCGTTGGCGGCCTTTTTCGCCTTCTTCCCCTTGGCCGCTTGCTGTTGGAAAGAGGTTAGATCTTAAATCTTTGTAAACAAAGCAAAACAAAGTGCCTACCTTTTGCAGCTTAATCTTCTCATTGAAGATGGTAGTGAGGACGGTGTCCAGCTTCTTGATGTCGTCCGCCTCCAGGTCGGTGGCCAGCTCGCGGAAGAGCTCCTCGAGGAAGGGCACGTAGTAGGGCGAGCGGGTGTAGTTGGACAGCTTGCCATTGAGCGCCTTGCGGAAGACCTCAAAGTCAGTGCGCGTGGCCAGCTGAATGCTGCCCAGCGAGGAGGTGTCCACGCCGTTGGAGTCCACGCCAAAGGCCTCCTTTGCCAGACTGAGGTCGGACTCCTCCTGCAGGCGTTGGCGCTCCAGCTTGTCCGCCAGCAGCTCCTCTTTCGTGCGCGGTCTGCTCATCTCCAGGTCCTTCTGCAGCAGTTTGTCTTTCAGCGCCTTCTGCTTCTTCTTCTTCGCCCCGGGCTCTTTAGGTTCAGTGGTGGGAGGCTTCTGCTGACTGGCGTCTCCGGCCGAGCTGGCCTTGCTGACTGGCTCCTCATCGTCGTCGTCCCAGTTCTCCTTTACGTCGCTGTCCTCCTCGTCGTCCCACTTGTTTGTCGCCACGGCGGGCTTGGTTACTATTGCTTAGAAAAAGGGGGAGGAAATGATTAAAACATAAACTCAATCAGTGCAAAAGGTAAAGCACTTACTCCAATCCTCTTCAGACATTATTGATCTGGTATTGATCGCTTCCTCGTTTTCTTCTCGAGGTGGGTAGAGTAGCAATTTTTTAAACTTGAGTTTAGTGACGTTTCACAAAGTCAGCACTTTTGTACACGTAGAGGAAGGTGAAAAGGTGGAAGAAAAGACAACAGATTAGCACAGTTTTGGAACAGACGCAGACACGCAGACAGATCAGCAGCAGCAGCAAAGCTAAGTCGCTCTCCTTCCTACTTTCTTTTCTCTATCCTCTCCAGAAAGACGCGCAGTAGTGCTCGATGGCTCACTTCTTTTTCTTCTAATTACTAATCAGTCAAACAATATTCAACGTGGACANACGCAGACACGCAGACAGATCAGCAGCAGCAGCAAAGCTAAGTCGCTCTCCTTCCTACTTTCTTTTCTCTATCCTCTCCAGAAAGACGCGCAGTAGTGCTCGATGGCTCACTTCTTTTTCTTCTAATTACTAATCAGTCAAACAATATTCAACGTGGACAGGAGAGTGAGAGTGAAAGTAAGAGAGAAAGTAGTGATGGTAGCAGCAGCAATCACTTTCTCTCCTTTCTCTTTTGCAAGTGCAGTGCAATGCTGCTGCTGTACAAGTGCAACGGTGCAGTTGGCGCCCTTGTGTGCTGGGAAGTGA